CAAAAATCAAGCAAAAAAATTAAACAATTGAGGTTGCTCTAAATGCCTCTAAAGAGATGACTAAGTGTGTGGAGCTTGATTTTGGTATTAGAACTTTAGAAGGTTATAAGTTTAATTTTTGTTAGTACCCTCCGACCTTTTCAGTTGAACCCACCACACAAGTCTTTTCCAGATAATTAATTGAGATTTATCCAATACATACATGAGATAGTATTTATGATTTCTCGTGATTTATTTAAAAAGAAAAAAAAAAGTGTGAGCTAAATGCAAAGGAAATAATATGCATGAAAAACGAGTGTAAAAGAAGACGAATGAAAGCGCGACGGGTGGCAGGTGAATGGTGGTGAGGGTGTCTCTATCATATCGGACCACAAATGATGATTAGCTTAATGACATGGACAGCCAGGAATTGAAGTCCGAGGTGGCGTACTGACCAGGCGCCACGTGGGCAAGGGCGGCGCACCAAACAGACAGAGAAAGCTGGATTGTAGCAGCAGATCAGAACACAGTAATAGTAGAGGTGGTTTGAATAGAGACGATGGAAAGTTGAGAGAAAATTAAAGTGTAACGGCGGCGGAGGAGAGGTGGCGTGAGAAATGGAAGTGCACGCCGTCCAAACAACCTAATATATATAACTTCGCCTTTCATGTATATATATATATGTATAATGTATCTGCACCCAACCCCACGCGTAATCATCAATCACCACCCTCTTCTTCTCCTCCTATGGACAACTAACAACAACAAAACAAAATACAAATAAAACAAAAAAATATTGTCAACATCTATCACCAATTCAACACAAGTGCTAATAGTATTGCAAATAATATGATTGTAATAAATATTATTGTAACCCGTTTAGTTTGGGTTGATAGTATCTGGTGTTATCATTATAAATGATTATTATTCGATTTGATAGGGCATTCTAAATAGGAATGTTAATCGTAACTCAAAGCATATGAGCTAACTTGATAAGACTGAAAAATTATAAGATTTGGACTCTAAATCAGTCAAGCTCACTTAGTCCATTAACTCAATTACCAATAAAAACTTCAATTAGTAAAAGTCTTACCCTACTCTCTCTCTCTCTCTCTCTCTCTCTCTATATATATATATATATATATATATATAAGATTTGGTGCGACTACTACTTCTTATGCGGTCATGTAACTTTGCACCATTATGTATGAACAAATGCTCTATCACGTGTTCAGATATGCATCAGGGTGTGGTGTATTTCTTAGCACCACTCAATTTGTAAAAATGCACCATGCCTTTGGTGTATTTTAACATGTGATAGTGCATCTTTGCATACATAGTGATGCAAAGTCGCACGATCACACGGGAAGCAGTAACCAATTCAACTTTTATATATATATATATATATATATATATATATATATATATATATATATATATATATATATAGAAAACTATTCAGATGTACATTCTCATTTTAATATTGGTGTGCACCAGAAAAGCACCATATATATATATATATATATATAGAGGCGGGTTCAGGTGCGGCAGTGTCTTACGGTGCGGTTATTTCTTACGGTGCGGCAACACCAATAGTTCACCAAATATGCACCATCAACGTTAGGAAATACACCACACAAAACAGAGTAAACAGAGCCCTGCATCACCAAACACACACCATTAGGTGTGAGTAAAAACACCATACACTGTTCGGAAATACACCATTGGGGGTGGTGAGTTATATGGTGTGTTTTTTTGAGTCTGTGGTGTATTTTGTGATGTTTTATTACATTTCATTGGGGTGTGTTTTTATTACACTGTTGGTGCATATTGTTAACACTGTTGGTGTATTCTGGAATTTGACCGCACCGCCGCACCATAAGACCCGGCCGCATATGAGCGCTCTTCTATATATATATATATATATATATATATATATATATATATATATATATATATATATATATATGATTATTTTCAAATACAAAACCCCCTTAAAATATAAATTTCTCTTAAAATACAAACTGTGTGCATGTAAGTATGTTAATGTGTGCACGAGCTTTGATGGATGGTTGTGTTTTTTTTTTCCTTCCACGCGCTGTGTGCATGTAAGTATGTTAATGTGTGCACGAACTTAAGTTTGTATTTTAAGGAGGGTTTGTATTTGAATGCAACTATATATATATATATATATATATATATATAATTTCTTAGCTTGTATATTGAAATTTCATCGATTCCGAATTGAAACGAACTGAACTGGGATCAGGTCTAGTATCAATACACATAAAATTTCCAACTATTTATTGTTTGGTTAGGTTAAGTTTGCAAGACTCCATGTGTATGTATATGTGTGCATGCGCCTGTATATACACACATCCAAAAGATATATATTATATACTAATTAGCTAACTAAGATGAACAAACTATATACTAATCCAACTTAAGTAATTAATTAAAGAACAATACCTTCTAGAAAATTGCAAAAAGAAAAAGTTATCACTAAAAAGCTACTAATTTTTAATAGGGATTATTTTTAAGTCACCACTCATTATAAAGACGGTTGGTTTGAAAGTCACAAGATTCTAAATATGATTCTCGATTTGAGTTAGTCAGTTATAAGTAACTTAAACTGATTTACTTCATTATTGTCCTTTGTTAGCTAGGTCACAAGACGGACTTCACTCATAATAATATACACATTTGAATAGTGGGTCTGAGTTAGATTAATCACAATACCATGGATTAGGAGATTAATGAACAATTAATCTGCATCTATCCCCAGGGGGGTGGGTTATTAATATAATAATATATTTTTTCTTTATTTTTATTGGCAGCATACTGTCATATTCAGGCATTCCTTTATGTGTTGTCCACCTGCTTATCCCATTAATCCATCCAATCCAAAGTCTTTATTTATATGTCTCTCACCACTAACATTTCAACCAACACCTTCTCATCTGCAACTATCCATTCTTCCTTAGCTTCAATCTCTCTCTCTCTCTCTCTCTCTCTCTCTCTCTCTCTCTCTCTCTCTGCAAGCTAGCTAGCTAGGTTGATAATCTCTGGTCAGTCCCTTCTGCAAATTTTATGTTCCTTAATTTCATATTATTATTATATATTCTTGCATGCTCAGATCATCCATTTTCTGTTTGTTATGAGAATTACACTGTTATAATGATATGCATGCATTCTTATCTGCATCAGATTCATCACAATCACACAACGTTCTGCTCATTACCATGCAACTTTAATTATCAACTGGAAAACCCAAAAACCAACTAACCCCCACCACTCACACAATACATATGTTATTAGTAGTTTTTGCTGTTGTTTTGTTATAAAAGTAATAATCATTCATTTCGAATTTTGGAGCTCAAAATTAGTGGTTGAAAGGTATATTGGGGTCCCGTCATCCTCATGGCCCTCAGATCAGTTGTTGATTGGAGTGGATGGGAAATATATATCTTTCTGGGAATTGAATGATAACTAATGAATAGTGTTCATTGGGCATGGAGTGGTGTATGAAATGGATGGATGGTATAGCTAGGATTGAAGAAATGGTGGGACAATAACCTCATTAAGTTGGTCGAACAGTTAATTTGAAAACCACAAGGTTCTAAGTTCGACTCTCTGTAAGAGCTGTCTATTGACCTTGTCTTGTTCCGACCACTTTTAGCATCCGGAAAAACTTTTGTTGCTATTTCCGATCACTTTTTGCTTTCAACTTAATATAAGATCATTTTTAGGTGGTCAGAAATTTCATAATTTCCAGCAGTGGCGGATTTTTTCAGATGTAGTTAGCGATTGGGAGTTTTTGGGTAAATTAAAGAATTGAAGATGGAGATGGAAAAAGAAAGTTAAGTTCTTGTGGCAATCATGGAGTAGAATGCACTCAAAGAAATGATTTCAACATGCTTTCTAGCTATATCATATCCTGTTGGTTTCCTTAAGGAAAAATGGTCAAATTTTGCTGCTAAGCTAACATGCTTTACTGTTACATTATATTGCTTACTTAGGCTCCCTTTGGGAGAGCGTTTTGGGGGTCTCGTGTGAGCTTTTAGAGGCATTTCAAGGCAATTTAAGGGTGTGTTTAGTTAATGGATTTACACATTAGGAATGAGAATCAAAATCATAGTTAGCGTTTGATTGATAACTTTTTAAAACACAACTATGAGATTTGATTACCCCTTCAATTAAAAATTTCATTCCATAATTAAAAAGGTATCGTTCCATCTTATTGGTAATATGATATGATTTTTAAGTTTGGATTAGGGCTTTTAGATTTGTGTTTTGATTTTTTTTGTTCATATTGGTCATTGGTGCTTTGGAGGTCATTATATTATGATCAAAATTTTTTTTTTTTTTTTGTATTTTTAAAACCGTTATTCCCATTATAGGGTCATACATAACCAAACATCAATGTTGATAATCATTCCAATTCCATTCTACTACCAAACATGCAAAATATTTTCACCAAAACTCATACCATTATTACCAAGTATTTGATTCTCATTCCGATTCCGATTCCCATGTGCCAAACAAACACACCCTAAGTAAGTAGAACATAATTATTACAGCAGAAAGTCATGAGTTTGATTCTTGCCAACATCATCCTTGTCGAACCCTTTAATTTGTGGGTAATTGTGTAAGAGTAGGGCACCACCAGATAGTGATCGTGAGTTTCTTCAATCACAAGGAAACAAAAAACCTATATTTTCTTAGTGATATTGGGTAATTAGCTAGCTAAAAATGAGTAATTCTCATAGATGGATCCCTCCACCCATCCTTTTTTAAGTTAATAATGCCCTTTTGCCTCACGAATGGAGTTGAATAAAAGGAATGATGAGAAATCTACAAGACAAGGAAGTGTGAAATTCACTCACTTTTGTGGGCAGGCATCACATCATTTTACAGGAATGTCTGTCTTACACATTAAAGTTGTTTTTTCTTTTTAATGTTATCCTCAGATCATAATAACCTAAGGAGCCAAGAAAATATCTTTAGAGATATCAAAGGTGGTTGTGTTGTTGCTTTGAGGACTATATATCTCACATTCACACCACTCCATATGCTGCAGTCACCATACTTCTGGTGACTCAAATCTTTACTTTTCAAGAACACAACACGCAGTACTGTGTGTTTTTTGTTTCTTTGATCAATTCTGACTTTTCTTCCTTAATCTTTTCATTCCCATTTTTCTTAGAGGTTAATTAAGGATTTGAAGATCTGTGTGTGAGATCGAATTGAAGTGATGGAGATGATGGAGTGTTGTGTCCCTCCTGGTTTCAGATTTCACCCAACTGAGGAAGAGCTTGTGGGTTATTATCTAAACAGGAAGGTTAACTCCTTGAAGATTGATCTTGATGTTATAACTGATGTTGATCTCTATAGAATTGAGCCATGGGACATTCAAGGTATGTATGTCAATTTCTTCATCTTTGATCTCTTTTCCCTTCATCAATCTCCTTCTCCATCAATTAAATCCACCTTCAATTCGGGGCAACCCTAGCTGAATTGATCAATTGAGTTGTTGGTTTCATAACTATAAAAGGTTCTGATTCAAGTTTGACTCTCAATGAGAGCGGCTTATTGGTCTTCTTGATTTGAGTCAGTCAGCTATGGTCGATTTATTGGTTTGATAACCATAAGGTTGCGATTCAAGTTTGACTAACTCTCTCCCAAATGCTCTGTTGGGTCGGAGTGTGGGGGGGTCCTTAGGGTTGGGGATTCAGCCTTTGGGGTAAGTTTGACTAACTCTCAATGAGAGAGGTCTATTGGCCTTCTTGATTTGAACCAGTCAGCTATAGACACCTAGTGCACACCTTTGGAGAGCTGCCGAGTTTCCTCATCAAAAAAAAAAAAAAAAAAAAAAAATCCACCTTCTTCATCCCTATCAAATCAAAACAATTTTGATTTTTTGTCATTTTGAGTGGTCGAAAATCTTGAATTTCATATGTGGATAAAGATTGGGTTAGGAGGGTTATAATGTTCTATATATGATGTTAAGATTAAGTATCTGTTTGTGTATATAAAATAGCATGGTATTATAATATTGGGGATTATTATATAATATTGCACATAGTAAAAAAAATAGTAAGGGTGTCAAAGTATTCATTTAATGCGAGTGGAAAATTAATTTTTACTTTTTATTTATTCATTCATGATTGCTTATTATTTTTACAATTATATTTTACAATTCATATGGAGGGATTATATATGCCAGATTACCAGTCAAATTCCTTTTCAATTGAAAATTATTAGTCACACAATACACATTTATTAAAGGGGATAGAGCAAAGTGAGAGTAGAATTTCATATTTAGAAAATAATAATAATAATAATAATAATAATAATAATAATAATAATAATAATAATAATAATAATAATTATTATTATTATTATTATTATTATTATTAATTCTATTTTTGGTCATAAATGTATAGGTGTCAGTTCACTTTTAGTCTTTTTTTTATCAGAACATCTTCATTTGATCCTAGTGTTATTGTGACATGATAATTTTTTGTCCTCCGTCAACAAAATCATTGGAATACCGTTAAATACAAGGATATTTTGATCTTTTTTTTTTATACAAAATAGGTTGACATGCTATACTTTTTATGTTTATTTATTAAAAAAAAATCCATAATTGAAGACCGAAATGCTCTTGTTCTTAACGAAATTCAAAATGTTTTGTTGATAGAGGACCAAAAATATCACAATAATACTAGGACCAAATATAAATTTTCTGAAAAAAAAAAAAAAAAAAGAAGAACTAAAAGTAGGCTGTCACCTATAAATCTAGGACCAATAATAGAATTAACTCTTATTATTATTGTTATTAAAAATTTTAATTAATTTGTTGAAAAAGGTTAGTTAACAATCCATGAAATGCTATATTGGGAGAAGGAGAAATGAGAGAGATGAGAGCCTAACCTAAGACTTTAGAGTAGGGAAAAAGCATGTAAACGTGCATTATTTCATAAATTTAAAATTTTTTGACTTGTTTTCGGTATAAGTACAAGACACCGCTGTTACTTGAATTTTTGTGACAAAATAAATGTGTAGCCATATATAACATGTGCAGAAAGATGCAAACTGGGGTACGAGGAGCAAAACGAGTGGTACTTCTTCAGCCACAAAGACCGGAAGTACCCGACCGGAACCCGGACAAATCGGGCGACGGCGGCCGGATTCTGGAAGGCCACCGGAAGAGACAAGGCGGTGATGTCTCAGGAAAAGATGATCGGAATGAGGAAAACGCTTGTGTTCTACCGAGGTAGAGCTCCCAACGGCAAGAAAACTCACTGGATTATGCATGAATATCGTCTTCAATCTTCTGAACATGCACCCCCTCAGGCATTCTTCTTCTCCTCTCTCTTAATTGCTTTAATTCATTGTTTTACATTTATTCATTATTAAATCTTTTAAATTTTTATTGACTAAGAGTCTCATAATTGATGGAGTATTATTGGAATTTGGCATGTGCTAAGCACACAATTTTTATTAATAATTCTGTCTAAAAAAAGTAGTGTGAAATGTGAATTAAGAAGATTATATCCTTAAAAAGACATTTTTTTTTTTATAATATTATATTATACTCTTTAAAAAATTAAAATAATTACTTTGAATATAATTATACTTCTGTCTTATGTCAAAAACCTTGTGATCGAGTGGTCGAGATTGTAGTTCTCTACCCAGTGAAAGTATTGACTCCTTGAATTGTGCTTAGATATATGCTACATACATTGTAACTGAGTCAGTCGTACTCAAAAAATAATTCTTTTAAAAAAAAATGTATGGTATACATTTTCTTTCTTTTTGTTCCAATTCTTCTTTTAAAAAATAAAGAATTTATACCAATAGTGAATATTGTATCTATTACAGAGTATATCTTGAAAAATAACTTCTTATTCTGGTGTTGTCGTGTAAAAAAAAAAGGTTAAAAAGAAAAAAGAAAAAAAGATAATTTTTCTTTTTAATGCTACTGACTCTATTACAATGTACAAAGAGCCAATAATGCCTCCATTGAGGCTCAAACTCACAATTTCCCATATGGAAGTCTAATTTGGGTGCCATTCAAGCACAAGGTGCTTGATATTATCATTTTAGAAAAAGACATCCGAATTGAAAATCTTATTATTACTAGTTCCCTTAATTATTGACTGATGTGTTCTATCTACTTTTTTTTCATGGGTTCTAAACAAAAATATAAATAGTAATTTCTCTTTATCAATAAGATGATCTCAATTAAAAATTTAAGTTAATAATTAAACTGTACATTTATATTTATTTGACAAATGTGAAGTTTGGATTGTGCAGGAAGAAGGATGGGTAGTATGTCGAGCATTCAAGAAACCAATCCCAAACAACAACAAACCAGCAGGCTATGAACCTTGGAACAACAACATTAACCATTCTTCTAATTACTACGTTAGAGATAACAACAACAACAACAACAACAATTGTTCTTACATGCCCACCACAACAACAACCTTAAACGCATCGAACAACAACACTCCCATTCATCATCACCAATCTTCTGTCATCAACGCCGCAACATTCAACCACCAATTAGGAACCAATTTCCCGCAATACCCTTTCACGCCGCCGCCGCAGCATCACCACCTCAGCCACGGCGGCGGATACGATCAGATCAATCAGCAGCTAGTCGAGCTCCCGCAGCTGGACAGCCCCACCGTCTCAACCAAAGACGGTGGCGGCGCAACGGCAAGCGAAGATCACGAGGATGTCGTTGACAGGAATAGCTACGGCGGCGATCATAGTTGGAAGGACTTGGATTATAAGATGATTGCGCCGGCGCCGGCGCCGGCGCAAGGGGTGATGATGAATGACGACCATCCAGTTTTGCCGTCTTATTCATTCGCTAATATGCCATTACTCATACGTGACGATGATCGTAATCACTTCAGCCATCTCCTCGAGTGCTTCCCGGATTTATAGCTCCGGATATACATAGCTCAAAATTTTTAAGTTTTAATTTTCTTTCTCGTGAATAACAATCCTCATTCGAAACAAGTTAATCAAAAGAGGTCTTTTTATTTTTGAAATTTTCGTTCACTTTTTGGGTGATCGGAAATACATGATTCTTTAGTGTTGGGGAAATGGTGTTGTAGGAGGATGACTGAAGAAAAAAATGGCTACAAAGCCTGGTAGGATTGGCTTCAATGTTTCATATCTACCATTTGACTGTTTGTTTTTTATTGTATACTCTACAAATTAAATGTGAATTTATATATGTTGCTTGATTTTCTTTTTATTTTTATTCTTATAGAAGTTAATTCTGTATACCTTATAGGCTTATATAATTTTTTTTGGCACATTGAAAAAAATAAAAATAAAAATATCAAGAACCTCAAGTAGTTATAATTATTACTATTTTGGGTGATAAGAAAAATTCGTAGCAACAACTTGAGGTTCACTGCTGGAAATTATGGAATTTCCGACCATCTGAAAGTGATCTTATATCAAGTTGAAAGTAAAAAGTGGTCGGAAATAGCAACAAAAGTTTTTCCGGATACCAAAAGTGATCGGAACAAGGCTTTCGACTTGATTTAAGATCATTTTCAGGTGGTCGAAAATTCCATAATTTTCAGCCGTGGTTGTGTACGAGGTAAACCTTGTTCCTATGTGAATAATTCACAAATCACATAGCTAGGAAAGGTAAATTGTATGAATTAAGAAGATCTATCATGTGTAACGAGCTGGACTGAAAGAGTGTAAGCAAGAATCAAACTTGTGAGTTGTGATATGAGAATCATGTTCCAACCTACTTAGTCACCCCTTTTGGAGAATTATAATTATTTTTAATTATATAATAAATATAAAATCATGATAATAACAATGAATGAGTATTCACGTACGGTATAATTTTTTTAAAAACAAATCAGATTGTTCATTAGGTTTAACACCTAGCCAGTAGCTCAATAGGTGCATACTTCTCCCACCTAGTCAATCTATCTAGCTAATAGGTCTTGGTGAACTCGATGAATTGAATTCT